AGCTCAACGCCTGGCCCTCAGCACCATCTATAAAGATGACAGGCAAATCTCCTCTTTCACAAGAGGATGCTATGGGTCGGAATCAACGCGATGCCCCCAAACAGAAACAAGAGAAGGCTACAGAACTGGAACCATCAAGTGCTGGTGCAGGCAGGGGCAGCCATGCCAACGTGCTCAGCGAGCGCGCGGCGTCAAGTTGCATATGATAGAGGTCCAATTTTAGATAGGTGGGGGCAAGGAGGGGCTGCCATTGTATTGCAATGACTGCAGATGCATTTGAGAAAATGTATAAAGAAGGGAAGGGGGCCTAAGACCCGCCTTATGCCAGAGACAAACATACACGCTTAATGAATTAGACTCTTGACGTGGAAATCCAAACTTAAAATAGTATAGGTCGGTAGGTAGGTAGTATGGATGCACAGACAGATATTTGAAGAGTACTTGAGTGTGCCCTGATAGCATAGTGCATTATGTATTGGGCTGCTAACAACAAGGTCAGTGCTTCAAATCCCCCAGGTGCTCCTCAGAAGAAAAATGAGGGTTTCTGTTCCTATCGAGATTTACAACCCCAGAAACCTACAGGGTCTGTTCTCCTCAGTCCTATAGGGTTGCTACGAGTCAGCATTGACTTGCTGGCAGCGGGTTTTTTTATGTGTGTACATGTATGCATACACATCTACATATGGAGCCCTGGTGATGCTGGGGGCAAGGTATTGAGCCACTAACCTCAAGATCAGGGGTTCAAACCCACTACCACTCCTCTAGAGAAAGATGAGGTTGCTCCCATAAAGATGAATAACTTCAGAAACCTTACACAAGGTGGCTGTGAGCTGTAATCAACTCAGTGGCAATGGATTTGAGTGGTCTGGAGCTATATATATAACCAACATCAATATCTATAAACACCTTCGTAAGCCAGACACCCAGAGGCCTGAATGCAGCATATGAGAACATACCAAGTAAAACATGTGTCTGTTTAAAAACATCGTAGCCAAAATTGGAAGGGAAAAAAAGGAGAGGCAATTGTAAGCAAATATTTGAGCACACCGTATTGGAACATAAGCAACCCTGGTAGCACGTGGGTAAAGCTTTGGGGGTATTAACTACAAGGTTGGGAGTTCAAACCCACCAGCCACTGCATGGCAAAAAGATGAGGCTCTCAGCTCTGCAAAGATTAACCATCCTGGAAACTCTAGGAAGCGATTCTATCTACTCTGTCCTACTGGGGGAATCGGAATCCACTCCACAGCAGTGAGACAGGAAGAGACAGACAAGCCTCTTTATTTGTCTGGGTGTTTTTCGTTTTGGGTGGTTGTGGTGTTTTAATTTATAAGAATGCATCTTACAATCAATATAAGAAGAAAAGGCCCTCCCAGGAGGCCGAAGACAGAAATGGTGCTATGACAACAATGGCTGGTTCATGAAAACAAATGTACCCACTCCCCTTAGCTTATTTGCATTGGCCACAGCACACAGTTAAGACTTAGTTTAAATCTGGATCCCAAATTGTTACTTCAATTACCTTTTCACAGATTATATTATAATACAACTTTTTTTTAAGTTGTATACATAAAAGTTGCCCACTTGGCTCAAACCTGACAGTGTAATTGAAGACCGTAGAATGGCCAAGCCCTTGCAATTGGTATGCCTTTCAAAGCTAGGAGAGGCTGCTGTACCAGGGCCTGTGTTCTGAAGAGCTGTCACTCAGCTGGCAAACATCTGTCAGAGATTTCCTATTCATGTGGTGAGATGCAATTTTTTTTTAGCCTATTTTTTCCCCTCTGGATTTATGGTGCCTTTTCAAGATGGTAGGGGGTAGAGAAACTGCGTAACTTCCAATTATATAAACTGCAGTTAAGAAGAAAAGCAATGAGCAAAGTGGAAAATGTAGGCAAAACCTTGGTATTCTTTGAACTGTCTCAAAATAAAACTGTCAAAGCTAAGGATGCTTTGAGTGTTCCAGACAGGAGTCTGAGTGTTGATGACCCAGTAATCTAGGGTAGCACAGGCCCACGCGTCCTTACTTACCAAGCTGGGGTGAACGTTGTCACCATCTCTGTCAGGGATGGTACGTGTGTAAAGAGGCTTTGGTTCAGTAGGAAGGTGGTGTGGGCTTGGGAGAGAGACAGGCACCAGCCGGACCTAGAAGCACGGACTCTGGTTTGTATATGAAAATGACAGCAAAGATCCAAGACCAGCTCAGTCCATTTTGAAGATGAAGGATGTTGGGAGACTGACCCCACCACCTGTCAACGTCTTTGCACAGGGAAGGACAAAGCAGTGCCTAAAGCAGATAGCCTGGAAATCCACCCAGGAGTATGAGGAGGCTTGATCTATGGTGGAGAACGCAGCAGGGGGGGTGGGGGGAGATGAGCCACGTGGTAAAGGATGATGGAGCCCCTGTTTATCAATATAGGAAAAAAATAAACCAAAACGTTGAATTCCTACATTTCGACACAATACACTTATCAATTCCAGACAGAATAGTGAAAAGCAGATTTTAAAACCTTTGCAGGAACATATGGGGACAGATATTGACTGACTTCACTTACTTCACAGTAGGTCCAAATTGCTTCACCAAGAAACAAAATGTCCAAACCGCAAAGGGAAAAGCACAAAGTTGATTACACTCAAATGAAAGCCTGGTGTTCATCAAATGACATAAAACCACAGACTGCTTACACCTGGAACCAGCCAACGAAACGAGAGGGGGCTTCAAAAAGCTCGTGGAAGCATTTCATTATCTTTTCATCCCATCTTTCCACAAACTTTTTGAAGCACCCCTTCCCCATACAATGAATGTCCCTGATTCCTTTTTTTTTTTAATAAAGTAAAAAAATTTAGGTAATGGACCAACGATAGGAAAAGTCAAAGAAAAGCAAACTTGAATGGCAACTGTATGCTCAGCCTCGTGTGGGGTAAGGTCGCTTCCAGTCAATTAGCAACAAATGATAGCACGTGGACGGAGGGAATTCTTTTCAGACTGACATTTGAAAGGTCAGTGTCCCTGCTTTGAAGGGCAGTCTGACCATATCTGGTCACGTTGTATCTACCTTACAGAGACTGGGCGAGGAAAGCAAAGCACGCCGACGATTGTTGTTAAAAGCACTGTTCTCCTCATGGAGGCAGAGGAGGAGCTCGGAATCTGACGGTAGCTGCCAGGGTAGGAAGGCAGGCACGTTGTTTGGGAAGCGCTGAGTTCCTGCTAACGGAGGTGGAAAGTTGGCAGCAGCTATGGACGCTGGCTGGGGAACATGATTGGTAACCGGTGTCACTGATTGGTAACGTGAAAATGTTGAATTGGCAAATGTTGTGTTATCTGAAGTGATGTTTACAACCATCAGAAAGGTGCATTGTTTGTAATAGCAAAAGAGCACTGGAAACAACTTAAAATGTCTATCAACAGGAAAATTAATAGATAAGTTATGCAATGTGTTTATAAATGGGATCCTATTCGGTAATGAAAGTGGATTGCCTAGCGCATTCATCAAATAAGGGTGAATCACGTAAATTCAAGGTTGAGCAAGCTGCTGAGGAGTATATACAGTATCATCTAGAGGCTTTTTGTTGTTGCTTTAAAGCTTAAATAACACATTGAAATATGAAGCTTTGGGATACGATCATATGTAGTTCAGGTATCAAGGCAAACATCAAAGGCAGGCCTCGGCCCCTCTGGGGAGGTGAGAAGACAGTGGGCAGCGATCTCACAGTGAGCTTTGGAAACTCCAGCATATAATTAATTACACATTTCTTAAAGTATGCATTATTCTCTAAACTGAATCCCATTCTAATTTTTAAAAGAAAATTAAATGGAAGTTCTTAGCACCGTACTCAAGGCTCCTAGGTGGTACAAGGCGTGCGCACTCCAATGCTAAACTGAAGGTGTGGCCACTAAACTAAGCCCAGCAGTGCTGTGGGGGCAAGACCGGGTGATCGGCTTCAGTAAACATGACAGCCCAGAAAACCTGACAGGGGCTTCTCTTCAAGTGCACCTGGACTCCCCACAGTCAGAGTCGACTCCGAGGCTCCCGACAACATGCACAGGAATCAAACACTCACTCACTGCCCTCGAGTTGATGCCAACTCCTGAGTCTGCCCCTCTGAGGTTCCCAGAATGAAACTGTTTACCGGAGCAGAAAGCCCCATCCTTCTCTCGGTACATACCTTGTGGATGGCAGCCCAGTGTGTAACCAGGGCTCCCAAGGTCATCAAAGAGGTGGAAAGACAGTTGCCTTGACATGTCTTTGACTTGCAGCACGTAAGCGGGTTGTTGTAGAACTGCCCTCTGTGGCTGGTGTCTAGAAGCCGATCGGCAGGCATTTCTCCCACGGCACCTCTGGGTGGGCGTGAACCTCCTTTCCGTTAGCAGCCGAGCGCTAACCGCCTACTCTCTTGCCTTTAGGCCAGGCGTGTGCTCAGTGTTTTCTGTTCTCTCCTGCTGCAGATGAAAACTGCCAGGACAAGTACTACAACTGCAACGTGGTGGTGCAAGCGCGGCTCTGCGTCTACAACTACTACAAGACGGCCTGCTGTGCCTCCTGCACTCGCGTGGCCAACAGGCACCCGGGGTACCTGGGCGGCAGATAACACCCCGGGCAGCGCCGCGCCGCCTGCCGTGCCCAGAGCTGTGCGCAGTAGCACTGGCAGGTCGCCGTTCCACCAGGCGCTGCCTGGCCCGGGACACCCCCAAGCCTCACTAATCACCACCACCACCCCCCACCCCGCCTTCAGTAAAGTGTGACCCCTGGCTCTTAGGAGCTCCAAGACCAGGGCTGGCCCTGCGGGCATCCCCGCGGACTGATGCGCTGTCTCCCGGAGAGGCGATCTTGGAAACCCAAGCAATGGGCGGGGCGTGCAGCCCAGCCACGGTGCCCAGGTGGCACTTGGATCACCTGCGGGACGTTGCCTCCGCCGATCCTCCAGGGGCGCTAGCAGCACGGTGCCCTAGGCAGCGCCCCCACCTCGGAGCCTCACTAATCCCTGCTGCCCTGTTACTTGGGCCCCACTGTGCCTACTTCCATTATCAAAGACTAGACTGATGGCCTGACTAGCTCACCTTGACGTAGCCAAGATAGGATAGTGCTTGATGGTTCAGCAGGTGTTACGAAGGGTATTCAAAAAAACTTGGTGGAAAGATTCCACTATCTCTTCATTCCATTTCCCCCCACAAACTTTTGGAAGCCCCCCTATGCTTTCCCCCAAAATGAGCCCTGGTGGCATAGTGGGTGAAAGTTGAGCTCCTAAGCACAAGGTCAGCAGTTCAAAACCACCAGAAAGATGAGACTGTCGACTGCTATAAAGTGTTACAATTCTGGAAGCCCCCAGGGACAGTTCCCCTATGCCCGGCAGAAGTCAGCTTCAACCCCAAGGCAGTGAGTTTAGGCTGGTTTATGTGCCCGGCAGCAGCGCCTGGATAGCCAGAGAGGCAGGGGGTGAATCATGACTCCCATTTCACTGACAAGGAAGCAAAACAACATAGGTAACTGCTCTGCCGGTAATCACCTGGCAGGTGTGTTCAGTGGCCCAGCTGAGTTCCCCAGCCAGTCACCTGAACGTGGAAGCCCAGAGAACTGCCCTCCTTCACTAATGGCCCCTCCACCAGGACCCAGTAGCAGCCTGACCAAGGGCTTGGTCTGCTGGGCACAGGCTGGGAGGAGGAGAGCCGTTTCCCTTTGACTCTGTCGTCCCCCGAGTGGTCCAATCCCCCTCCCCAGCCTCCAGCTGCCAGTTTTATTTCACCTTCTCAGAGTTACGGAGCCAAATTACAGGCCCTGCTTCGGCTTGAGTTATGCTCCGTCCTCAAGGAACTGTTCCATGACACAAAGCCACCGGGCCTTGTAACGTGATTGCCAGGAATTCTGTCCCAGTCCCATGGGATCTTTGCCTCCCTCGATACAGCAGGGCCCCTATGGCCCAGGCACCGGTGTATCCCGGACACTGTGCCCCCCCCCCATGCCTTCTCCCAGGGGCTGCCCAGTGGGGAGCCAAGCCCACCCACCCAGGAAAACCCTTTGCTCTTTCCACTTTGATTTCTGGATATGGCTCACGGTCTTGTGTCTGCTTTTCCCCTATGACCACCCTCCAGACCCTGCCCACCCCCCTAGAATGCGGCTGCCTGAGAGGAGCCGGGCGGGCACTAGTGGGCACAGCGGCAGAGCCTTCTTTCGTTCGCTTCACCAACTCTAGTCCCAGAAGTCTCAGGACAGAAGGGCATACTGAGAGGGGGCCAGCTGAAAAATCCATTAAAAGAATAAATATCTATATGTATTTTATATACTTTATACCCATAAATATCTTTACACACATGTATGTAGATGGGAGAAAGATGAGGCTTTCTGTTCTCACAAGGAGTGAGCCCGTCTCAGACCCTCACCGGAGCAGTTCTACCCTGTCCCCTGGAGTCACCAGGGGTCGGCACCAGCTGGATGACAGCGAACCTTTTTTGGATGTGTGTGTCCGTCTGTACACCACCCCCCAAATCAAACTCGCTGCCGCGCAGTCAGCTCTGACTCTCAGCCGCTGAAAATCAAAGCTCTGACTCTCAGCCGCCCTGTGTACAACAGGGCTTGGCAGAGTTCGAGGGGAAATGGGATGGAAAGATAATGGAATTGCTCCAGGAACTCTTGGCGCCCCCTCCAAGAGGTGTGTGTCCATGTGTGTGTAAATGCTTGTGGGGAGATTCCATTATCTTGCCGCTCCGTTATCTTTCCATTCCATTTTTCCTCGAACGTTGCACAGCCCCCTCATATACACGAAGGCTTGCGGCACTCACTGCTGAAAATCAAAGAAACCCGCCTCCAGGGTGGATCACAGCTCAGCATAAAGAGCAAGTCCTCACCGCTGGACCAATAAGCAGCATCACAGTTCGTGAAGAAAACGTTGACATGGTCAAGGATTTCTTTTCCTTGGATCTCCAACACCACCCGTGGAAGCTGCAGTCAGGAACTCAAAGGACTTACTGCAGTGGGAACCTCTGGTCAGGATTTAAAATTTTTTTTAAAAAGACAAAAACCTTTTAAGCCAAGACATCACTTTGAAGGCAAGACGAGTAAAAGGCACCTGACCCAAGCCAGGTGATTGACTCGCGGTTTGCATGTGGAAGCTGGACGTGGAATGAGGACGATGGAGGAAGCGAAGTCACTGCGTTACGGTGTTGGCCAAGAGTAGGGAGTATGTCACGGGCCGCCAGAAGAACAGACATACAGCCCGGGGATGCTCCTTAGAAGAGACGGGGAGACTCCAGCTCACGGACTTGGGACACATTACCAGGAGAGACCCGTCCTGGGAGAAGCACTCCGTGCTTTATAAAGGAGCAGGTCAGGGAAAGAGGAAAGACGCTCGAGGGGCGGAGCGACAGGGTGGCTGAGCGCCGGGCTCTGAGGTGGCGGGGCCTGTGAGGACGAAGCAGAACTGGGGATCTTCCCATTCTGTAGCAGCATGCTGACGGGCCCACCTGACAGCACCTAGCAGCAACAGAGGCGTCCGTAACAGGTGAAACAAAGTGTCGGTTCACAGGAAGTATATTATTTAGTGTCGTGGTCCCAGGCATTTTGCCAGGTGAAGAAAGTCCTATTGTTGTCACAAATGACCGCTGAGTGGGCCCTCAGCTCATCGTATCCCCGGGCACAGTGGAGTGGCCTGGGCCAAGGCCACAAGCAGTTTCTGATCAGATCACGGGGCTTTCAGGGGCTGCTTTTCAGCCGTAGACCACCAGGCTTCTCTTCCTAGTCTGTCTGCGTTGCGGAGCTCCGGTTAAACCTGTCTGACATCCTAGCAAAGCACAAGCCTCCAATGACGGGTGACTGTGCATGAGGTTCACTGGCCAGGAATCAAACCCAGGTCTCCTGCGTGAAAGGCAAGAATTCCACCACTGAGCCACCGGGGCCTATATTCTTCAGTCTCTCCCGTGAGCTCATGAACCGGAAGATGTGTTATGTGAGTAGATGAACAGTTGCCACCTTGGCCCTTCCAGCTTCTCTTCCTGGAGACCCCGGGCCACCAGCTCCCAAAAGCAGCCCTACCACTCCCCGTTCTCCCATAACCCTGGGCAAAAAGCTGCTGGCAGAGGCCCGGGGCCCCATGAGGACTGGGTAGAAAGAGACCAGACACGTCAAATCTACTGCCCGCTCTCCCCCCACCTGCCTGCCTTTGCTACTTGTTGGGGTGAGTTTTTTTCTTGTGTGCCCCTGCACTTCTTGGCTCCTGCTGAACACACCAGTCGCTTAGATGATACTGGGTTTGGGTTTGGTTTGATTTTGACGTGCTGGAAGGCGGGCCAGGAGCAACAGGTGGAAGCACCAGAAAGAGCCCAATTTCAGCTTGAGTCAAAGGTTTCGTTCCAGCTATCCAGATACCCACTGGCGGCGGCGGCAGCAGTCTCCATCCATAAAGGCATCCGTGAACATCCTAGACCCCTCCAACTCGTGGGTTCTCGTGGCTGGTCTCTCCCAAATGCTACCCAACATTTCTCTAACTACAAGACAATATTCTACCCCGTGAGCATGACCACCTGGAAAACAAACCAACCCACTGCCGGCGAGTCTGTTTTAACTCATAGCAATGCTGTAAAACAGAATCGAACGTTCCTATAGGGTTTCCATACTGCATTGGACTGCTAACAGCAAGGTCAGCAGTTCGAAACCACCAGCTACTCCATGGGAGAGAGACGAGGCTTAGTACCCCTGTGAAGAGTTAGTCTTGGAAACTCCCTAGGGCCGTTCTACCCTGGCCTACAAGGTCG